AAATTAAGACTGCATTAACCAAATGTTACTGATTGTAGTGCTACACCAAGTTCCGCAACGTTCAAAAGAAAACATCAGTCTACTTTAGCTTAAACGGAACGCTTCGATAGTAATGCCCAACTGAAAAAACCTAATTGTACAATCTACCTCAAAACGGAAACTTATAAAAGCTCGCAATCGCAGGGGAAAGAAGACGAGAAAAATAGATTTTAAAACAACTCGATAGTGATAAGTTTGAACTTCCGCATAACATCCCAACTTGACAAGTTATTTTGACGTTTAAAGTTTGGTTTGTAAACAAACACTGTTTGGAATGGTAGGCACAAGTGAACTATAGAAAGTTTTTAGAGTTTTATTGGGGGGAGCAAATTGTGTTGACGCGATAGGAGTAGTTAGTTCCGCTAAATTTTGAAATATCTGAGAAACTCAGGGGTTAGCAGTTCGCAGCGAAGTCGAAAACTCGCTATTACCTTCAATACCTCGCGAATGAAACTCTGTTATCGCCAAAACAACGAGTTTAAAACTGATTTAAGTCTTTCACAATAAGCTTACATAAACGTAGAAAAGGCCAAAAAGAAAAATTTTCAGTAGATGACGGTGTAAAATGCATCAAGAGATACGTTTGTTTACTTAAAGTGCTGATGGAGATGACGTCGAGTGGTTTGTAATTAAAATGCAATTCGTCGGGTATTTCATTTGCATCTGAAAGTTTTCCGAGAGGTGGTAAAAAAGTTTCGGTGTTACTTGAAGTAATCTTCTATTTGCAACTTTAGATACTCATGATGAGAAGTTCGTGAAAGATTCTGAAGGTACAAAGGCTGGAAATAATAAACTCAGACAGAAAGTCTTGAATAAGCAAATATAATCCCGTTTGTTAACATAGTTCTGCCCTAGATGGCCAAACACAATTATGCCACCTTTGTTCGGAAGCAGCCTATGGGATTAACTTCCATTGAAAAAGGTTTGTGTACAACAAACAGAATCTAAAAATTATGCTAAGTTGAGTCTTAAATGCCGCACACGAAATGACGAGTAACGCGAAAATATATTTAATTTTATCGAGTAAATATGTTGCATACCTTCGTCAGAAGTGAATGTGGTGCCATCGCAGTTGGTATCCGAGGAAATTTACTTAAACCGTTAAATTCCCAGCACTGAATGACGAGTCGAACTGAATTTCATGAAAATATATCCGGAAAGAGTTCAGACCTTTGAGAAAATTACACAGTAACAATTGCTTCATTTAGGTCAGTTGGAGTTTAATTTTCGCAGGTAGTGAACGCTCGTCTTCCCAGTCAGACAATTTTTTAGGACGCTAAAAACTCCCGCAAACAATGAAAAACTCGTGATTTTGGCGAGGTTTTCGTCGAACACTATTTAACAGGAGTAAAAATTCCGCTCATGAATCGAACAGGTCCTAGCCTAAATGCGAACATTGTGAAATCGTAAAACTCAAACATGAGTGCGAAATTAATTAAAGCCTATTCTTGTCATTAATAATCCATTCAACATGACAGCATGGTGTTAGAGAATTTAAGTTTGAAATCGTCAGCTGTTGATTTCAAGGCGCAAGTTCTACTCAGAGTTGATCTAAGCTGTATGTATTTCACAGATTTCGTTTGTGTTGGAATCTAAGAGATATAAAGATCTGTTTTAGCTTGTAGCTTGTACGTGACCAGAGTGAAGATGTCAAAACCAAACCCTTATGGTTTTAGAATTCAAGACGAATTAGAAACTTTAGACAGGATAGTCAAGGTTTTCCCAGCAGATCAAACAGCGAAATAAAATTCCATGAAGATCTTCCCAAATGGTTAAGTAAAAGATCGCCTAAAAACTTCCTTAATGCCACGGAATAGTAATGAAAAGGCCTACGCTAAATAATGATGAAAGAACCGAGGCCGCGTTTCTTATAGAGTAGGTTAAACACGTCAATTTAACACTGAACGATGTACCTTTGCTAAAGCTGCTTCTCCGCTTGGCTGTAGCAGGAACACAGGTGTTCCTTGGCATGGTAAAATCGTCGTAAGGCCGGCAACGACCGCTTAACGATTCAAAGCTGTTCATCTGTTTGAAATGCGCGCCAGAGATACCGCCATCTTTACTGCAGTAAAGTCTTCCCGTGATGCTGAGCTGTAAGGAACTCGGTGCTCCAACCAATGTACCGTCACCTCCACAGGGAGTTCTCGGTGAAGCATTGAAGTATTCCCTTGTTGCCTTAAACAGCTCCTCGCATGGTACTAAAAGAAATGGCAGAAACGCTCTTCTACATGGTGCAGCCAGGACCCGTATTTTGCATTCATTTTTCCGTTATAATTTATTCCACGATCATTTATTCCATCATCGCTATACATCATACATCGGTAGCTCGGTAGCTAACCTGAAGGAGAGTGAACATCGATGAATACGATGCATTCGAATTGTCGCAAGACACAACATCACTTACAAATTTTAAAGATCATTGGTAACTAATACTTCACTTTTCAACATGGAGCGAAGTAACTTACGTTGGTAGCGAAGTAACTTATTTGATGGAGTGATCTCACTTTCGTATGGAGCGATCTAATTTTTGGTTGGAGCGATCTATCCAAATACCTAGAGGACGAACGCAGAACAATCCATCAGATTTCTGCGGTCAGATTTGTAAACAAATTGCACTTTTTGAGTGTTTATCTTTTGTTTTCATTACTCAGTTGACAGATTTATCATTTTGGTATTAGATCAATTAATCATTGATACTAACCAAAGTCCTTCTCAAACTTCTCTAACCCTAACCCTAACCCTAACCCTAAGCAATTTAACTATGGGATTTCACAATTGGTGTAATCAATCAATTTTTTTGGCAAAGAGGAGGAAGTTTGGATACACCCTCAGATACTGTTGGATTCCACTACAAATCATACTTAAAGATTGGTTGAATTTCATAAACAAAGAACAGAAGCTTTATGTTCTCAGAAAATACTTTATTTATTTTTTAAACAAATGTTCCATATTAAATATATTTAGTTCAGTTCAGAGGCCACAATAATCTTTGTTAGTGGACATGTTCTCTATTGCATAGAGTGGTTATGTCTGGTTACAACTAAAAAATAAACAAACAAACGAACAAATAAAGAAGTCTTGTTGTTTTCCTAAGTATAATTAATCTGGCCATGAATAAACTCCCCTGAATATTCTGCCAGGTTCGAAATGGCCATACATAAAGCTAACTCATTCGCAACTAGGGAGAAAGAGAGAAAAACTACTCACAGACAGAAGCCTGACTAAGTCTTGAATTATCCTCTACAATTTAAGTGTGTGCCATATTGCAACCAAATGCTAAGTGACTTGCCTCAAACAAAACTAAAACAGAAAAGTGTATATAAACAAAGAAATCTTCTTAGAGCATACTGCCTTACAATGGTATAGAAATACTTATACACTGGTGCCCCCTAATTTTAAAAACAAAAATTTGCATCTTACAGCTAGCTAAAGCAAAATAATAATAAATCCAACAGTTTTATCATTTTACTGGTGAAATTTCCCAATAGGCAAGACAACATATTACCTTCACTGAAAGAATGTTCCTGAAGCAAAAACGACAAAAAAGTTAAGACAAAAGGGCAGATTGAAAATGCCCTGCAACAATCCAAAACATTTGAATTAAGCCCCAAATCAACAAATAATAACAAACCTAAGTTATAACTAGCAAAGTAACCCAAATGAATAAAAGCTGCATGAAACTGAAAACTGTCAGGAGAGTCAAGTCTTAGTCAAGATAATTTTACTGGATTTTTATAACCCTTGATGTGACAAAACATGGTAAACAACTAGTTGACGTTCAGGATGTAAGTTCATTATCAAGTCATCTTTGAGATGAAGTTATATAAATACAGCATCTTTTTCCTTTTCAAAATAAGTTCAACTGCATTTAATGCAGTTTCTATGTCTGCCACAATCATGAGACTTGTCACATGTCACTGTTTGAAGTAGGGTGGAGGGTTTTGTTTACATTTAACACAGCCAGCATCAAATCAGGTAAGATAAACACAGATACAGAGTTTTTCAACCAAGTGTCATTAAAACAGACCAATGCAGTCACTGCAGCTCATCAAAGAAACCATGACTTAGAGATGAAAGATCAGAGTAAAACCATGAAAACTAACAGATGCATGAGGAATTGCCAGCAACAAAATTGCAATTGTTTAAGAATTGCATCTTTTAGTTTTGCATCAGATTGGTTCAGAGTGACACAAATATAAAAGATCCACCAATACTGGATTATTTTTGACACTCAGTTGAAATATGTATAGTCAACATAAACTCTGATGACTCTTAATTTTGCTTCCCTAATGACTGGTGTGGAAATAAATTGTAGGCTATGTCTTTCCCCTACATCTTCTACTCAGTACCATTTAGGAAAATTTTGGGGGAAAAAAATTAATAATAATAGTATCTTTCATCTATATGCATGGCTCCTTCTCTTCCTTAAAAATAAAAAAGGAAATAATTTTAAAAAAGTGTAAAATTGAATTAAGGCTATGTCTGTATGTTCAAGAATTACAAGGTGAAAGCAAAATTAGGAGTCAAAAGGTTACAGTTTTTAACAGGCAAAGGAAGTAAAGCACAGTTTGCCACAACCCAATTCCACCAACCTTCAAATCTTTGTGTAGGTAAAGTAAAATAAGGCAACTTGGGTAGAATAACAGGCCTGGAAAATCCAACCAAGTTGTCTTTTGCACCTGACATGAATCACACCCTCACATGCACCACAAAGCTGTGGGGGTAATATTTACAGTAATTTTCTTATATACAAATAACAGCATAGTCAACATGCTGGTATTGTTTGTCTAATGGCAGCAAATAAAGCAATGTTCACTGAAAAGTTAATACTCTGGAAATCTTTCTGGAGGAACCAATGAATTCCTGATTGGTATTACTGTGACACATTGTACATATATCAGGCAGAAGTGGCACCACATAAGCTTACTGAGAATACGAGATACTTGTATACTGATCAATCTTTCTGCTTATAAGCAAACCACTTGATGCAGGTGTAGCAATTAAAAAAGAAATCTCCTCCTCCTTTAGGGATAAAAATGACTGCTTTTGCACACTTTATCTTAGCCGCAGGTCACCTAAGGTTGTGTCATGATTCTGATTAAATGTTCCACCAAATAGAGTTTGCTCTCTATCATCAAAGAGGAAAGGATCATCAGAGTGGTCAATTTCATTGTGCCTTGGAAAACGTGCTCCTGTTGGTTTCAATTGTCCTTGAAGGAATGATGGACTTGCAGGGCTCAGAGTGGGTGATGTCATATGTGACTGCTGAAAAGGTGTAGGTCTGTCAAATGTGAAGACATTTCCGAGTGTTGTGTGGGGTGAGATGTGAGGGGACATTGAAGGAGGAGAGAAAGGTGGTGAAACAAGTCTATTCAATCCTGTTTGTGTGGAATTAAGAGGTGATGTGAACGATGATGAGGCTGGAGAGGTATTGTTTACGATTGCAGACCAGCTTCGCTGTGTAGGAGAAAGGATGTTATCCATTGTCATAGGGGGAGAATGAAGATGATCTGAGTTCACTCCATTGCTGTGAGATTTTAACTCATTGCTTCCTAGAAGTCCGTGTGGGGGAGAAAACATAGGGTCCTTATTAAGGGCAAGTTCTTTGATCTTGTTATTTTCCTTTTTGATATTGTTCTGATGAATGATTGGTGATATAATGCTTGGGCCTGTGTGAGAAGCATTACTTGCATTAACTAACTTCTTTGAGTCTCGTAAGTTAGAGACCTTGTTTGGCTTACTCCTGCTATTCAGTGGTGATGACTTTGATCCAGATTCAGACAAACAAGAATCATCTTGACCTGTGCCAAGAAAACCACTACTGTTTAACAATCCTGGGGTGTGTGTGATCACTGATGCTGGAACAGAGTGTCCAACACCACATTCTTTGCCTTTTCCAGAATACAGACTTTTAATGGCAGAATTGCCATTGGAAACAGTAGGGAAATTTTCACTAAGGATATCATGTTCACTTTCCTCATTATCAAGGCCACCAAGCAGTATCTCCTCCCTTTGCTCCGATTCAAACATAGGTGAATCATACTGCTGAAACTCATCAAGATCAGGTGACATAGGAGAAGGTCCACTTCCATGTGAGTAGTCAGATGACAATGACAAACTGATATCTGGAGATAACATATCCGATGAATTATCAGGACTAAATGAATTGTCCAAACCAACAGGTCTTATTGAATTGTTAGGTGTCTTTGCTACTCTTGCTTTGTTTGACCTGGGCATAACTGGTTTTCTATTGGCTGGTTTTTTAGTTGGCTTTGGCAGCTTTTGAAGTAATGGGGCCTTTGGCTGTGGTTTCCGCCGTGGCTTCTTTGGGGGAGGCTTTGTTACTCCAGGAGAGGACTTGGCTGCTGCTGCAGCTGCTTGAGCTTGGGCTTGAGCCTCTTGAAATTTGGCCTGCAACAAAAGAAAAGCATAAAATATTGAATACAACACACAAACAAATGACATATACAGCCTTACTAGCTCAATCCTATTCAAAACCATACCATGTAAAGGGTCAGACAGATTGATCTGAGCTGTTTGGCCCTGCTAAGCATGCGCCCTTCTACCCATGGGTATTTTATAATACACTGCACTATCAGTTTACCAGAGTAATAACCCACTAAGAGGTTAGTGTTTGTAAACCTCACCCCTTCAGCTTCTGATTTACAAACTTTTCTCCTTTTCTCCAAACATATGGCATGGGTCACTGCACTGGTGAATTATAGGAAGTGGCATCTATTACTTATAGTAAAAGTTAGAAAACTGTGCTCACAGTTTCTTCTCAACAAACCACAAACTGCAGCTTATGGAGTAAGAACAAATTTTGAAGTTGCAGCATCTTTTATCAAATTCAACTAAAGATGGCCTAGCTGTTAATTTTGTTCTAAACTGCATATCCAGTTTCTATTCTAATAGACACAGCTTCTAACCTTTTTCCTGGCATGTTCATCACAGAGAGGACGCTCATGAATGACATCAAACACTGGCACAGAACATTGGAGACCTCCAGGCCACTTGGCAGTGCACTGGGCATACAATACTTGCATAGAGTCATTCATTATATCTACAAATTTTGACTCTGTTAAGGAAACAAACTAAAGAGAA